CGGGCCATTTGAGTTTCCAGGCCAGGCGGCCCTTTCTAATGTGGGTAGCCCAGAAGTCACATCTCGCGCGCGCGGGCGCGTTGTACGCTAAGCCACGTGACCGACACGCTACAAGCCCATGTTAACTCGGAATACAATCAGTCACCGTTAATTGGCCAATTAGATTTTCCATGCCAACATGGTGGCCGTTGTACGGTGGAAAAAAAAAAAGAGTTCACAGCTAGCGCGCGCGTGGGCGACGTGCACGCTGAGCCACCTGGCCGATACGCGACAATCTCCATGTTAACTCGGAAGTTCAATCGGTTACTGCGGAGGGGCCACTTGAGCTTCCATGCCAACATAAAGGACCCGATATTGCGGGTAGTACGGCTTTCAGAGCTCGCACGCGCCGGGGGGGGGGGCGCGCGCGCGGGCGCTATGTGCGTTCAGCCACATGCTACAAGCCCATGTGAACTCGGAATTCCAATCGGTCACCGCTCAGGGGCCGCATGAGTTTCCAGGGGACAGCGGCCCTTCTATTCTGGGTAGTGCAGGATGCACAGCCCGCGCGCGCGCGTGCGCGCGTTGTGCGCTGAGCCACTTGGCCGACATGCAACAACCCCGTGTTAACTTGGAAATCCATTCGGCCACCGCCACGGGGCCGCTTGAATTGCCAGGCCAGCACGGCGGTCCTCTGTCGTGGATGATACAGAGTTCACAGCTCGCGCCCGCGCGCGCGGGCGCGTTGTACGCTGAGCTACTTGGCCAACATGGCACAACCACATGCTAACTAGGATATTCAATCTTCTACCGCAACGGGCAACTTTTAGTTTCCAAGCAAACATAGCGGCCCTTCTGGTGTGGATAGTTCGTAAGTCACTGCTCGCGCGCGCGCGCGCGTGGGCGTCCTTTACGCTGAGCCACTTGTGCGACATGCTACAACCCCATGTTAAATTGAAAATCCAGTCGGCCATCGCTAGAGAGCCACTTGCGTTTCCAAGCCAATACGGCGGCCCTTCTGTTGTGAGCGATGCAGAGGTCACTACTCGCGCCCGCGCGTGCGCGCGGGTGCGTTGCACGCTGAGCAACTTGGCCGACGTGCGGCAACCCTAGGTAAACTGGGAAAACCAATCGGCCACCGCTAAGGGGCCACTATGGCTTCCAGGCCAACATGACGGCCACTCTATGGCGTGCAATGAAGAATTTACAGCTTAATCGGCACGCTGCAAACTCATGGTTACTCGGAAATCGAATCAGCCAACGATAGGATTGCACTTCAGTTTCCAGGCAATCGTGGCGGCCCTTCTATTATGGGTAACCAAGTGATCCAGAAGTCGCAACTCGCGCGCGCGCGGGTGGGTGCGTTGAGCGCTGGACCACTTGGCCAACGTGCCACAAACCAGTGCTAACCTGGAAATCAATCAGGGGTTCCAAGCCAACACGGCGGCCCGTCTACTTTGGATCAGGGTTCGCAGCTCGCGCCCGCGCGCGCGCGGGCGCGTTGCGCGCTGAGCCACTTGGCTGACATGCTGGAAGCCACCGCAAAGGGGCTACTTGAGTGTGCAGGCCAACATGGCGGCCCTTCTACTGCGGGTAGCACGAAAATTCACAGCTCGCGCGCGCGCGGGCGCGCGCGCGAGGCGCCTTGTACGCTGGGCAACTTGGCCGACATGCTACAAGCCCATGTTAAAGATGGAAAATACCATCGGCCACCGCTAAGGGGCCACTTGAGTTCTCAGGCCAACGTGGCGGTATTTGCATTGCGGAGAATACAGGGTTCACAGCTCGCGCCTGCGCGCGCAGGCGCGGGCGCTCTGTACGCTGCACAACTTAACCGGCATGCTACGACCTTTTGCTAACTTGGAAGTCCGTCGGTCACTGCTAAGGGGCCACTTGAGTTTCTAAGCAAACATGGCGGCCATTCTATTGTTGGTGATACAGAATTCACAGCTCGCGCGCGCGAGCGCAAGCGGGCGCGCGCGCGCGCGTGGGCCCGTTGTACGCTGAACCATTTAACCAAAACGCTACAAACTCGAGCTATCTCGGATATCCAATCGGTCACCGCTAGTGGGCCGCTTGATTTCCCAGGCCAGCATGGCGGCCCTGCTATTGCGGGTAGAACTCACAGCTCGCGCGCGCGTGGGCGCGCTGCGCGCTGAGACACTTGGCCGACATGCTAGAAGCCCATGTTAAATTGGAAAAAGAAATCGGCCACCACTAAGGGGCTGCTTGAACTCCCAAGCCACCATGGCGGCCCTTCTGTTCTGGATAACGCAGAGTGGCGGCTCGCTCCCGCGCGCGCGGGCGACTTGTGCGCTGAGCCACTTGGCCGACATGCTACATCCCCATGTCAATTTGACAATCCAGTCGGTCACCGCTGGGGGGCCACTTTAGTTTCCAGGACAGCACGACTGCCCTTCTTTTGTGGATAACGCAGAATTCACAGCTCGCGCCCGCGCGCGCGCGTGGGCGCGTTGCGCGCTGAGCCACTCCACCGACGCGCTACAAACCCATGGTAAATCGGAAATCCAATCGGTCTCCGCCAGGGGACCACTTGAGCTCCCATGCCAACGTTGCGGCACTTCTATTATAAGTGATACAGAATTCACAGCTCGCGCCGGCGCGCGCGCGCGCGGGCGCGTTGCGCGCTGAGCCACTTGGCTGGCGCGCTGCAGCCCCGCGCTACCTCTTGGGCCCCATTCCGTCACCGACCCGTGGCGGGGACCCCTTCGTTTGTCCAGGCCCCTTTCGTATCCATACCGCTGAGAACAATCATAAATCACAACCACGGCGCGCACAGCGCCCGTGCGCAGTTGTACGCTTCGTCCTCCTCCTCCTCCTCCTCCTCCTTCACTTCCGTCACTCCTCCTCCTCGCCCAAACACACCACCTCCTCCACCTCCTCCACCTCCTCCTTACCTCCCTCCCCTCCTCTCCCCCACCCCCTTCTCCTCCTCCTCCTCCTCTTCCTCCTCCTCCCCCCCAAAGCTTGCGCAGTCAATGTCATCATACTTCTGCTCGCCCCTTTCCTGCTACTTCCGTCGCTCCTCCCTTCTTCCTTTTAGTCCTCGTCCTCCTCGTGTTCCTCCCCCGCACCCCCCTCCCCCGTCCCCTCATCGTTCTTCTGCGCCCTGCCTGTTTCGGCAGGGGCCGCGAATGTGCATTCACGCCCGGGCGTGCCCAGGCTGACCCACGAAATTCGGTTTGACGGCTTCCCCATCAATTTCTCTTCGTTACACGGAATGTTCCCGCACTTCCCTGATCAAGACATTTCGCCTGGGTTGCTGGGTGGGCCGTGATGGATGCGAACAGTAACGAAACCAACTACGCATCCAACCGCCAATGAAACTACACACGGAAAGCCCCACAAACATGTTTCGCACGTGGCGTTCATCGTGCAACAACACTTCCAGAAGGGCGAAAGAGGCGAAGCCTTCCCACAATAAAATTGCGATTTCTGAATTCAAGCACACACAGCCCTTCAGGGCAAAAACAACAACAAACCATAATTCTGGATTTTCCAAACCATGCCTTCGGACAAAAACGTAATTTTGAATATTACATTTTAGTTGTGCCCCCCGGCCTGGCTGTTAGCGTTTTTGGGTGGCCCCCCCTTCCTGTAGACGGCCCCGTCACTAAGACATATGCTTCCGCACCGAACTGCCAGTCAGATATCTTACCCACATTGCGCCAAATTGACAGCCAGTATCCGCACCCCGTGGCCCAACATTGCCATCCAGGGGTCGTCAAGTATCTTCCCCTCTGGCCGGAAACCTCCAGCCCACCACCATCAGCCCGGCCCGAAGTGCTAGCCAAATATACAACTCCCGGTTCTACAACTGATCCGCCGACCCTGCGTCGGCGTGTGTGAGGGGCATGTCCGTTCCCGTCGTTCGTTCGTCGTCGTCTCCGTCGTCTCCTGTCCCTGCGCCCACCCCTTCCCTGGGCCAGTCGTCTCCTGTCCCTGCGCTCCCGCCTGCCCTGGGCTGGTCTCCCCTCCTCCCCTTTCCCCCCCTTCCCTGGGCCCGTCGCCGCTCCCCCCCCCGCGTTTCCGGGGCCTCCCCCTCAAGAGCAAGCAACGCTGTCATTGAGTCGAATGGAAGCCCCTTCCCGTTGATCCCTTTCCTGCCAGGGGGGTGGCCCGGGGGGGGGGTCCCGGGGGCAGGGAGGGGCGTCCCCGGGGAGCCCCGGGGGGGGTCCGGGGGGGAGTCCAGGGGGGGGTCCAGGGGGGGGTCCCGCGTGAGATACGACTCCCCCCCCGGGGGTCCCGGGGCACACACAAAGCCTCAGACGGGCCAAGAGCCGAGGCATTCTACCACGCCCTCTCCTCCCTCCCCCCTCCTCCCTCCATATCCTCATCTCTCCTCTTTCCTCCGTCCCCCTCCAGCAGAACCGAACCGGCATCCTGGACGCTCGGCCACGGGACACCCCAGAACCCAGAATTCCGAGGTCCCCGGGACCCTCCAGGACCCAGCCCTGGGGACCTCCTCCCAGGACCCAGCACCCGGAACCAGCTCCTCTAAAAATCCAGGACTCCCAGGCCCCAGGTCCCAGGACCACTCCTGCACAATGCGGCCCTGCTCGCCTCATCTGGCTCCTGTTCATTTTCCCCCTCTCCTCCTCCTCCTCCTCCTCCTCCTCCTCCTCCTCCTCTTCCTCCTCCTCCTCCTCCTCCTCCTCCTCCTCCTGTTCCCCTCCTCCTCCTCCTTCCTCATGTTCCCCTCCTCCTCTTCCTCCTCCTCCTCCTCCTCCTCCTCCTCCTCCTCCCCCATCCTGCTCCCTGACGTCCTCCGCCTCCAGCTCCTCAACGTCCTTGTCCTGCTCGTCGTCCCCGTCTGCAGGGTCGGCGGCACTGGCCGCAAGGCCCTTCGCAACATCTCTCGAGGGAACTCCACTCAATGAATCGTCAACTGACCCCATAAAAGCCGAGTGCCGAGCCCGTTAATGCAACCCGACCGAATCAGACGAACGAACCGACACCTGACACAAACTACCCCGACCAAAACTGGAGCTGACCTGCTCGCCGCCGTGCCCGTCGAACACCGCAAACAGGGCCCGCTGCTCCAGCGAGGCCGGCAGGGAGCCCACCACGCGGACGGCGTCCTCCATCGCCGGGCGCCAGCCCTGCATCTCCACAGATGCCCAGTCCATGGCCTGCACGGTGCCGCTGGTCGTCGTCTTGGTCCGGTTCGCTGTGCGCCACATCCCAGAGGGACCCTTGTCTGTCAGCCCGGCGACCTTGGCAAGCACGAAGCATACCGAGAGGCCGACCACGATCTTTCGAGTGCCGTCGTGGAGCAGATCTCCACCGGGAATGAAGAACAGCTCGGCAATTGCTATGCGCGAACCCCCTATCTTGAAGGGGGTTTACTGGCTTGCGAGGAACTCTGGCTTCCCCCCTGAACCTAAGCGTATGGGCACGTTCTCGATGTGTTATCCTGACACTGGTCCTCAAGCTGCGTATCACGACAGCGGCAGCAAAGATAAATACAGTGACAACGCGATCAACTGAGGCAAGGGCCAGAACTGTTCATCCCAGCCGCAGCGGCAAAACGATTACTGCAACGCTAACTACAGCTACATGATCAACAATGGCAACAACGCATGTCCTGACATCGGCAGAGACAACAACTCAGTGCACACATCGCATTGCAATTCTACGCGTGAATGCGATTGTTGATACATTCCCGAGCATCCATCAGGCGATAGCGCATGCTCACGTCCAGCGGTGCCCCCCCCCAACAAAAAAACAGCACAACCCCTGTGCTCGTCTGACCTTCAAAAACTTCAAAAAAACTCAATGCCGAGGTGCTGCCGAAACCGATTGGTCACTGCAGCCGTCGAGTGGGCCACGGACGCATGGCAACAGCCCACCGTACTGCCAACAAGACGACGTACAGGTCGCGACCGATGCCGAACACGAGGCGCGCAACCGACGACATCGGCCCGCAGCCCGCGCCGAGGCGCCGCCCTCGCCAGCCGCGCAGTGCCAGGGACCGCGGCACATCACTGAGCCAGGCTGGTAGTGGCCACGACTGCGACGACGATGGTAAAGGGCACCCAGGACACACAAATAAATACACACGCATAAACATATGCCCCATCTTTTCCTATAGTTGTTTGATGATCGTCTTCCCCACCACTTCCCATAGTTTCCCATATTTTCTGGGGAATCGACGATTAATTGTGTCTGTGTGTTTTTTCCCCTCCTGAGATGACCGCGCCGGCGCTGAGGATCATCGACGAACATGTTACAACCGGGGCGCTGCAGAAAGGATCCTCTTCGTTGGGGAGGGGCTCCGTGCTCCTTAATTGCTTCACCGTTTGCCTCAGATGTTCCTCAGGACTCCGATGGGAAATCGAGGCTCAAGTTGTGGAAGAGAGGGGCCTCGTTCCTAATGTAGGCTCTCTTAGGTCAACGCCCCGACTATACAGTTGGGACGTTGACCTAAGGAACCCTGAATAAGGCACGAGGCCCCTTTTTTCATGATTTGAGCTTCGCCTTCCCATCGAGAACCTCAGGAAGACCAGAAGCGAACTGTGAAGCAACTAAGGAACACGGAGCCCCTCCCCAACGAAGAGGGTTCCTTAGGTCAGCGCCCCGACTGTACGACCCATTACCATACACTCTTCACTGTGACAACGTTACAGACAGGGGGCAGCTCGCTCTCCCGCCTGCGCCAACAACACCGCTTGCAGTCGGGGCGTTGACCCATGAAGCCCTAAGCAAGGAACGAGGCCCCTTGCTCCCATGAGTTAAACTTCGATTCCCCATGGAAAACCTCACGATAACATAAAAAGAATCTGGTACAACAGTCAAGGATCACGGAGCCCCTCCCCAGCGAAAAGGGTTCCTCCTTCAGTGCCCCGACTGTATCGCGCGGCGGCCCCTTTCGTTTGTCTACCTGGTGCTCTTCTTCGTCCCGCAAACCTCTCAAGACCGCCACAGCACGCCTGAATGACGGCAGGATGCCCCCAGGCTGGAGCCACAGACTCCTCAGAGGACCCAAAATGAACCACAAGGCGTCGGAACTGGACGAACAAGCCCCCAAGGGATGCCCAAGGAAGGCCAACAATTGGTTTCCAATCAGGACTGTTTACTCGCCTATTCGGCCTAAGATGTACCACCGATAGCTCCAGTGTGCCCCAAGACGGCCCCCGAGATCTCCGAGAAGCCTCGAAGACGCCCCCGGACCAACGACAGCCGAAGAAACATCCAAGACAGCACAGACCCGCCCTAAAAAGGGCTCCAAGACTATCCGACCGAATGGTCTCAAGATGGGGTTCCCGATCCTCTTCTAGAGAGCCTGGTGGAATCCGCGCGGCCCTAAAACCCTCAAGTGGCACCCACGAGGCCTTCCAGGCCTTGAAGAGGTCCCCGATAACGCCCCACGAGGCCCCCACGGAGCTCCAGAGGAGCCCCCAATAAGCATCCACGAGGCATCGCAGACGCAATCCACTGTTGCAACCACGCCACACTGCAACATCGCGGCAACGCTTCCCAGACGGCCCCTCATTTCGAGGCTGCGCTGGGACGGTGGTGGAGGTTGCCACAGGCAGCTGGACACCGCTGCGAATGCAATCACGATTGTGACTATGGAGGCGATGACGACGCCAGTGGTCGTAACGATGGGAAGGCTCGATGCCGCGCTCCTCGCGCGAACGTCGCGCCTCCATACTATCATGTCAACGGGCCCCTGCTAGGCGACACGCAGTGGTCTACATTATCTGGGGCACAAAGTCGCACCGTTTCAAGGCCTGCATACTCTGGTACTGAAAACTGATATGATCATGTCTCGCTATCTCCGACCAGCCTAATCAATGTGTTCTGGCGTCATGGCCTCAAAGTGCTTGGGCCTGGGGTTCTGGATTATCGAGCTAGCAATCCGGTCAATTGGCGCTGGATTGATTGTATTCGGATGCTTTCGCATGGGAACTTGAACTGTTGCTCACCTCGAAAACATGGTCTCCATTCAGAGAAGCGTCCTCAAGAGAAAGCTCGCCATTGAATACCGCTTCCGCGAGGGACCCCTAAACATCAACATCGCAGAGGCAGTTGCATCATGCATCAATAGGGGGTTGCGAGGGGCCACGGAGCATGTGAGTCAG